GCCCCTCTTTGCTTTTGGTTTTTGAGGATTCTATCCATCTAGCCTCTAGCTAAGAGACTCTGTTTTCAGCTGTGTCCAATCTACTAATAAGCCCATCAAAGGTATTCTTCATTTCTGTTAGTTTTTTAATCTCGAATTTAGTTTTGTTTTTTCCTTACGATTTTCATCTCTATGCTTACGTGGCCCATTTGTTGTTGCATGTTGTCTACTTTATCCATTGGAGCCCTTAGCATATTAATCATAGTTGTCTTAAATTCCTGGGATGATAATTCCAACATCCCTACCATGTCTGGTTCTGATGCTTGCACTGTCTCTTCAAACTGTGTTTTTTTGCTTTTTGGTAGGTCTTGTAATTTTTTATTGATAGCCAGACATGACTACTGGGTAAAAGGAATTGCTGGAAATAGGCCTTTAATAATGTGGTGAGGTGTTGCGGGGGGAAGGGAAGAGTTCTATAGTCTGATGATTAGGTTTCAGTCTTTTAGTGGGCCTGTGCCTCTGGGCTGTAAATTTCACGAGTGTTTCACAGTTGTTTTTTCCCTCCCCCTTACATGGGTCAAAAGGCCAGAGCAGGCTGGAATCATCTATTTCCCTTCCTCCAGGTCAGTTAGACTGTGATGATATCCCAGCAGGTGAGGCTTCTGCGACCGCAGTCCTTGTTAAGAACAGCAGGCTCTAGCATACATAAAAATGGCTCTTTACCCCTCCCCCTGCCGGAAGCGGAGGAAGTTCTCCGATTTAATGCTGGGCAGTCTGGTAGAGCTCCTGGAGGTAAATCTCTCAATCTTGAGAGGGTCTCTCTGTGACTGCGGCCCGCCCCCTACCCCGGAGGTTTTAACCCTGAGCATTGTCCACATCGCATGTCCAGCAACTGAACTCGTCGGTTACAGCTCAGGGTCCCCCCAGTCACTGGCTCCTGACTTGGTTCCTGCTCTGGAGTCTCTGCTTCTGTAGGTAAGTCCTGACTCTATTTGATTGTTCTCTCTCCAACTTGGAGGCAGCGGTTTGCCTTGTGTACTCTCCTCTCTTATGGACCTAAGGAGAGTTGTTGATTTTTTTTTTTTTTCCCAGTTTGCTCAGCATTTTACTTTCTGTTAGAACTGGGTGGCAACTTTTAAGCTTCTCATGTGTGGAACCAGAAGCCTTATTTCTTCTTTTAAATCTTTTCCTTTTCTATTTTAAATAACTTCAGAGTTGAGGTAAAAGTTGCTTAAACAGAACAAGGAAAACCTGTATACTTTCACATTCCTAACATACTGATATTTAATCTCTTCTGTATTCTTATCACTTTTAGGAATGTTTAAAAAAAGGAATAATGATACAGAATTTTGCTGGAATAGGATTGGTTTCCAGAGGACAGGTCAAATTTATCTCCTTCATTTGGCCTGTATTCGTATTTCCTTTTTCTCTTCTGCATAGTGACTTTTCCAGTCGGCCGGTACCCTATCCATAGCTTATTCGCAACCTTCTGACCTCCCCAAATCTCGTGCATGTTCGGTTTTACGTCCTCTATTTTGATTGTGTTAGTAGTTGGGTCATAGATGCAGTATTTTTCCTTCCCTAACTCTAGCAGGAGTTTACTGTGACACCCATTACATAAATCTGGGATGTGGTGATTGGGAGAAGAGATGGTGAAACTAACTTTTGCATGGAAATACCCGGTGGTTGTATTTGAAACCTGAAAACTTTCTTAGGGATCTGTTTTCTTCCCGCTATTACACTGGAAAATGCCTGAGTTAGATAGTGACGTTTCTCATATGTGCTATAAAAATTTAAGTAACTTTGATATGGGGAGGACATACATGGTTTTGAGTAAATATCACTAATGCCAGAAATCTGGAGGCTCAGACCCAGGTGGTAGTCTTCCTAATCTTGATTGCCTGGAACATTCCAAGTCTATAAGGCCACCCACGGTGGGAAACATCCGAGGAAATACTTCTGACTCGGGAGAAAAATCACGTTTTCAGACTTGTTTACTCTGTCTTCTTACAGTGGCAGTTAGTGTTTATTAAAGGACAAGTGTTGCTATGGTGATGGGAGAGGCATAACAGGAGGGAATTGGGGGGAAATGTTGCAATTTGAGAAGGATTTACTTCTTATAAAATGAAAGTTGATTCTTTTGAGCTATATTTGAGGTATCTTGTTGCCTTCCCCCTTGTCTATACATCACAAAACAATTAAAAGATATTTTGATGTTCATCCCTGTTTCCATTATTTATTGCAATGACTCCTAGGAGGTCTCGGCTACCAGAAGGAGTGTGTGTGGCAGGGAGGGGTGCTGCCGCGAGGCGCCCGCTGTCGCTTTCCTATTTTGTGGATTTCTGTTTTCCTCAATCACACCCGCAGGATTTTTGTCTTTTACATTCACATTTTAAAGGAATCAGCATTTTGAATTCATCAATTCTGTTACCTGCTTTCAGATGATTTTCTATTTTCCTTATGCTTTTATTAATTATACCTGTAATTCGGGTAGTTCCCATCTTTAGACTTCCTGTGATATGAGGGAAAATAAACCCTGTTCGTTTAAGCCTGCTTTGTCAAATATTTTGTTGCTCACACCCAGATGCTATCACTAACTGATACGCCGGGCGTTTTTTTGTTTGTTTGTTTTGATCAATCTGGAGTTTAATGAAAGTATCCTCTTTTGTTTCATTAACTTTTTTTTTTTTTAAGATTTATTTATTTACTTGAGAGAGAGGGGGAGAGGGCGTGCACGCACACATGCGGGAGCAAGCAGGGAGAGGGGCTCACAGAGAGAATCCCCAAGCTGACTACCCGCCAAGCATGGAGCCTGAGGTGGACCTCCATCCCAGGACCCTGAGATCATAATCTGAGCTGAAACCAAGAGTCTGGCACTCAACTGACTGAGTTACCCAGGTGCCCCTATTTCATTAACTCTCTATCTAGTTATCACTAATTGCAGCCTCCAATGCACAGGTGTCAGCCTTTTAGTAATAAAAATAACTGTTTTTGGATATTGCTTGACAGTAAATCTTTTAATTTTTGCAAGACTTGTTTATTGTCCCTTAATTGCCATTTTACCATGAATTTATAAAATTCGTATTAGGAAGTATTATCTGGATACCACTTAAAATCCCAGAATGTCCTAATTGATTTTTTTTTTGTCTTCTACATTTATTTCTAAACTTTTGTAGATAATTGGATGTCAGCGTATTAGGCTTCCAAACTCTTATCTTTAAGATGATTTGAACTGTTTTTCAGTATTAACAACTTGAGCATGGTAAATTTCAACTAAGCAAAAAGCTTTGGGGCAAACATGATACCTCATGATACCTTGGACCTCTGTAGAATTAACATTAAACTCCTTGAATTATATACTGTAAAAATAGGTGAATTAGCAAGTAGCAAATCACTTATTTTGTGTGCACTTGCTTGTTGAGAAATTGTTGGCCACCTTAGCATACCAGGACCCAGTCCTCTCTGCTTTTCCCTGTCTCTTGATGATCTCTTGCATTTGGAGCTTGGCAAGACCGACTCTAGTTGGTGCATATCTTCACTTACACTTGCCATTTGTAGTCCATGAGGACTTCAGACTTTCCAACCAGAAGACTAAAAATGTTTGACTCTACTCTTCTTTTCTGACTTGGCTCCTAATAGAAAATTTGGCACAGAAATTCCCTATGTGATCGACCAGTCCGGTGGTTCTCAAAGTGTAGTTCTTGGATCAGCCACACGAGCATTATCTGTGAGTGTATTAGAAAAACATCCTCGGGCCACACCTCAGACTTGCTGGATAAGAATCTGGGGGGTGGGGCCTGCCCTGGGTTCTTTTTTTAACAAGCCCTCCAGGTGATTCTGATACACGCTCAAGGTTGGGAAAAACTGACTTTCATCATTAGGATCAGAAGAGGAATGAGCTCTAATTAGCCCAGAAGTGTTAAGTTCAGTGGGTAATCTGAAGGGAAAGAGAGAAAAAAGAGAAGGGTGTTTTTCTTCAGTCAGCAAGGACAGCTGCTGCCGGCAAAGAAAATCTGTCGATAAAATAGCATTGGCTGCACAACGTGAGGAAAGATGTCTGATGCCATCTCTTCTTAATTTTTATTTTTTACAAATCTATTAATAAGCATTGAGCTATACTTTGAGAAGGGTGTTTAAGACCCTCAAAGAATTAATATTCTTGGGTGGTGGCCGTGGGGGAGAAGGGACAAGTGAAGTGGGAAGCAGTAACAAAGCCAAACATTGAAAGCACTTTCAAGAGGCACAGATGATGGGTTTTAGAAACATACAGAAGAGAGCAATTACAAATGAATAGACAGAACCTCACTTAGTTGGGGACAGAGTTTGGCACTGTAATACCTTTGGTGACACTTTCCATCTGTATGCTGTTTTGTGAGACCTGTGAAAAGAACAGAGGTCTGGAGGCACACGAATGGTGATACTGTGGATTGTTTCAGTAATAATTTATGCTCCAGGGAAGCTGAGGTGAAAAAAAAATGAAAACAAAAATAATCAAAATACTCAGCGACAGTTTTCATCTTCTGAGGAGTGTACACTTCAGCAGGGAAAACAATCCACTTACACGAGAAATAGAGCGACGTGACCAAGAAAGTCCTGTGACCCTACAAGCCAAATTGAAGGGCACAGCAAGAACCCCATTTTGGGAAACCCGTTGAGATCCAGCCCATATGGATTTTGACCCACCATTTCAACCTGATCAAATGCAGCTCACTGCATCCTAATTGTTAAAAGGAAGAATTTGGCTGAGGAGAAAAATCAACTCCCACTATTGTCCCAAGAGACATTTTCCAGACAGGAAAGAATTCAATCTCTGAAGATCTGGTGGAGGCTGCTGTGAGGGAACTGCTTACAAAGCTCTCTCTCTCCGATTTAAAAGCATGAAATAACCTCATTTCAAAATTGAGAGTCTTAAAAAAACAACAACAACAACAGAAAAAAACCCACGCACACTCTTATCTGCCCTCACAGCCTGAATTTTGAATCAGGCTTGGGATAAAGTAGGAGTCTGTGTGTGCTCTCAAATATCTGTTATCAAAAGCCTGATCATTCTTTTCAAAATTCATGGCAAATACTATTTTTTCCCAGTGCTATGTTACCATCCAAAATAAATCTTGAAGGGCATTGAAGTTTTAGAGCAATTTTGGCAGGGAAACAAAACAAACTCACAGGAAATCCATTTGTACCCTATGTATGGAGTCCTGGTATAGTCAGGGCACCTGTGGAAGGAGGGGTTGTTCTTCAAGAGTAGCTATCGGTATTGCAAGATCGTAGTGTGGGGTCCTAGAAGATCATTTCATCTCTGTTCTGTTGTTGTTCCTCCTCCTACTATGCAAATACTGTATGTCCATTTTATTTGAGGCAACAGGGCATTTTGGGGTCTTTGGGTGTCAGTGACTTTTGTCTGTCTGGATAACTTGTATGCCTGCTTTCTAGAAGGCATTTCATAAAACTCCAAATAAAACCTCTTTACACATCATGTAACTGTGCTGTGCTTGAGAGTTGCCTCCTGTAAAGTAAATAAAGCCATATTGATTTCTCCTGGGCCACACAATCTATTTTTGTGGAATTTTCTGTCATCCAGCTCAAATCCCTGCATGGATTTTCAGGTGAGCTGTTTTTCAGCGTGGCTGAGAACTGGACTGGCTGGCTGGAAATGCAGGTAGCTACCATGCAGATAAACCCCAGCTTTGAGCTTATTTTTTATATTTAGGTATACAGTCAAAGAAAAACTCTGTTATCCATAGCCTTGCCATTATTGCTATTAAGGCAAAAGCTTCCAGGTTCCAAGGTTAAGGGAAATGTAGAAGGAGGTAGAAATAGAAGTGTCTGAATTATCCACACACATTCTAGGTGACGAATTTTCTTAGGAGGGCCTCAGGCTAGCGATAGCACTTAAAATGTTCTCCCAACCCTTTGCTTCTACCCAGGGTCACACACTATATACTCTTTAATCCCAAGAACTGTGTTAGCAAGGG